GGAAAGCCTGACAAGGTCCTGCTGATGATAATCTTTTTGACCATGAACTACTAGCCAAGTGATTTAGGACTAGACTTGCAAACAAAACCGACCTTGCCCTTCAAGTCTGAGCTTATTACCAAGTAGTGCTTAGCCTACCAATATAGTAGTAAACCAATTTGCCAAGGGTGGTTTTGTGCTTTCTCTTCCTCTTGCCTTTTAAGTATCATTTAGTGTTGCAGGCAGAAGGCTCAGACTCTCCTTGCAGTGGTCCTGCACCCATCCAAGCAAAGTCTCTTGTGCTGTTCCTGCTCACATGGATTAGCAGGAGATCTCTCATCCCCTGAGCACTGGCTTTGTGTAGCTACTACAGCTAGTTCCCACAAATATGGAGCTAACTATTACACCAGGGCCACTGGAAAGACTCTACTTTGTCTTGATCTAGAAGAGGAGCAGGTTTCTGTGGCCATCTTCTTTCATCTGTTCAGCTATTAGGTATGAGATGGTGGCAGAGTCCCAGCATCCATTGCCACAGCTGTGGCCCCAATGTCTGAAAAGAGTCTACCAAAGTGTGGGCCTGTAAAACCATTCTCTGCCTCAGCCAGAGGAGCTGTGTGACCCACAGGAAGGGCAAGAGCACTAGTGTCTGCTTAGACTCGCTTCCCCTCCTTCTCCTTATCCTATACAGTATGACCTTAGGTGGCACAGTCAAAGACCTGAGAGCATCTGATGAAAGGCAGGGGAGGGAGAGAAGACCACAACTGCCAGTCTTCATCATCTCAAGAAAGTGGCGGCATCTCAGGGGTCTGAGTACCCAAACTCACTGGTCAGCAATGGCCACTCGACGTAGAACCACTGGTGTGGAAACTCTCTAGGACACCTCCAAAGAGAGAAAGTCTAGGTTCTTAAGAGCAAATAATGCAAAAGAAAAACAGGTCACAGGAATGCTCAGTCCTGGCACGTGTAGCCCTGTGTACCAGGAGAGAAGAAGATGGACTGTCATTTTAAGACCATTGCTTTATTGATTACAGAATTTACAAAACATCCATATTCTATGATTAAACAGTACAGAAGGACAGAAAAGAATCCAAGAGACTGGCTATTTGCTTTCCAGTTGCTGTTTAAAGTGTTTCTTGAGCTTTTAAAATTGCAGTCTCACAATATTTCTCATTTTTTAACACACAAAGTTCCATTCTATAGTCATTCTTATAAACCTTTCTTCCACAGAGGCAACATTGTCCATGTTTTATAATGGGTCCATTGTTTCCTTTTAGCCACTCAAAAGTGAATTTAAATCAAAATGCACCCTTTTTTGAAGACCACTATAAACATTTAAGAGAACTTATGCTTGCTAGTGAACAAAGGTTAAAAAGCTACTTCCCATTTAATCATAATAAAGAATGCTATGATGGAGTGAATACTACTTATAATTTTACATTTTCATCTCAGTGTAAGTTGTAGTCATTGCATCCCTTGGACGAAGCAAGAGGATGCAGCTTTAGAGCTCCACCATTTTATGTTGCAATTTGCAGATCTTGGTGCTATATGCAATCACAATCTCTATTGGCTGCTGCTTTCTTACCACCGATTGTATCAAAGTTTTTATAAGGAAAACATTATGTAACTGATTTTGATAGCAGCTCTTTCATTATCATAAATTAAAAATAAAAGCTGTTCTCTAATCACGCTGTTCAGAAATCTAGCTCAAGAAAGAATCTGTTGCTGAGGCTTCTTGAAAATGGGATCGTGCCTCCCCCCGCTTCTTTTTCTTTTTTAAATGCATGTGAGGGGAAGATTCTTCCAGGGTTATCATCAAACCATCACAGCCCATATGTCCTGCTGCATAAACCTACAGAGAAGTGTGCCATCAGAATATTTTCTCCTGGGACTGTGGGTGGACAAACTAGAGCAGGAAAGGGGAAGCTGAGGGAGAAGCAACTACGTAACCCAGCCCTTGACTCTGGCTCTCTGCTTCTCTGCCTCTACCAGTCCTGCTGGGGTACTATCACCGGGCGGGAACTGCTCGGCTGGTTAAATCAGGGCTGTGCTCCACCACCTCTTTAGGATGAGGGACAAGTAAGAGCAGAGGTGGTTAATGCTGTATAAGGCACGTGTGTTTCATGAGGGAACATGACAGAGAGGGTGGATTTTGCTAGCCTTTCACTCCCTCAGCAGCATTTTCCACCAGAAGGAACCCCAGTGACACCCTCAGGAATACTCAAGAGAAGAAAGTAGGGCTTGGGGAGTGCAAATTCAGCATCACTTGGTTCTCAGCTGCTCCTTTTCTAGGGAATTATCACAAAAGATTATCCTTGCCAAGCAGAGCAGGGCTGGAGTGATTAAGCCCTGCACGGTGTTACTGTGAAGGAGCAGGAGTTATCACTGGACAACTGGACCATTCTGAAGAGCTGCCTGTGAGTTCCACATGTTCCCTGGCAGCCAGACACCCAGCTGCTTCACCCTGTTTCAGCTGGAGCCCTAACTGCAGCAGGGGACGTGTCATTTTTTTGGAAGGCTATTGGGAAGGGCGACAGACCAGGGATTTGATGTTTCCAGCTGAGGGACTCACTCATCTCCTCCGCAGATCCTCCACCATCAGATATCGGAGTCAGGCTGGAGACGGTCTGCGGCAAACAACAACTCAATAGCACTACGTGGAGTCAGGAGGGCAGAGGAGAGCACAACTACCTGAAAGAAGGGGGACAAGAAACAACAAATCAAAATGAATGGGACTGAGACTGATCGCGGTACTAATGAGCCGTGAATATGAACTGTTTGCTTCACCCAGCACTAGACAGCCTGTGTTTCTGGTGTTTACTGACAGGGCAAGACAACTTGCCCAGCGAAACTGTCTGCTCGCTAATAACTGTAGTTAAATCACTTTAAGGAGCATAATGACTGGTAGCATTGTACTCTTAATGAATGTGTGCTTTGACTCATTTCTACCCACATCTTACCGGGTGATTTGTTGTGACTGCCATTGTGTTTACTTCGAGGCACCAGCTGAAGAAGCAGGGGGTTTCCTCCCCTATAGTGCAGTTTCCTCTCAGCTGAAAGCAAGGCGAGTGCCACCGAAGTGCTGCCAGCCCTGCTGTGTGGAGAGCCACAGTCCCCGTTCAGAAACATCACTTCAGGCCAGGCACAGGCTGTTCTGCACATTGAGCACTGCTGGGATGCTACCACTTCTTTTTTGATCAAGTTTTTAATTCAAGATTGGTCTGATGAATGAAGCTGTTGTTCACTAAAGCCATGAAACACACCCTGCTCTACATAGCTATCTGTTTTTCTTAAGGGAAAACCAGTATGCAGGTGTTCAGTGTGAAGGTTCTTCCGCAGGGCAAAGCTATCGGTAAGGAGCAAGCGCATGTGGTCTTGCTGTGTGAAGTCATAGGACCTGCTCTTACAAAGCCTCAAGTTCAGCAGTGTCCGTAGGGTCAGAACTGCAGGCAAGGATGTGGGGCAGATTTATCTTAACTAGACCAGTTAAAATGAATTTGCTTCTTTAGTGCAAATCTGAGGAGAGGAAGCACAAGCATCAAAAAGCATGTCTGTGTGCCTGTTTCCTGCAGTAGCTATCGAACCACTTGTGCTCCTCAACGCATGGCTTAAATGTGCAGTACTGCTGCATTTCAGC